CCCCAGAGCTGGAACTGGTACCGGTAACATCCCCAGATCCATCCCGGGGATAGGAGACCCTCCCAGCCCCAGGGATATGAGACCCCCAATACCAGGGATGTGAGATTCCCCAATCCCAGGGATGTGAGTTCCCCCAGTCTCAGGGATGTGAGTTCCCCAATCCCAGAGATGTGAGATTCCCCAATATCAGGGATGTGAGACTCCCAATCCCAGGGGTGTGAGACCCCCAGTCCCAGAGATGTGAGACCCCCAGTCCCAGAGATGTGAGACCCCCGATCCCAGGGGTGTGAGACCCCCAGTCCCAGAGATGTGAGACCCCCGATCCCAGGGGTGTGAGACCCCCGATCCCAGGGGTGTGAGACCCCCAATCCCAGAGATATGAGAACCCCAATCCCAGGGATGTGAGAACCCCAATCCTTGAGATGTGAGTTCCCCAACCCCAGGGATGTGAGTTCCCCCAGTCTCAGGGATGTGAGTTCCCCAGTCCCAGGGATGTGAGTTCCCTCTCCCCACTCGAGCTGGGGGTGTCTGTGCTGGGACACCCAGTGCTGGGGTCGGTGCCATCCCAGTCTCGAGTTGACATCGGCTCTTCCCTGGATTCCTGCAGGGAGCAGGTGGTGCCAGCCCAGCTCCTCCTGCCGCTGGAGGCACAGCAAGGCCATGGAGAAGGAGGGAGGAGACCTTTCCAGGAGTGAGGATGAGGATGATGAGCTGCTCCCCGAGCTGAGCGACCCTTTCATTGTGGACAAAGGTGCCCACACTGAGCAGGACTTGTGGCACTTCTGGGGACAGGAGTGACATGGAGCTCGGGTGGCTGTGCCAAGGCACCTCTAAACCTTCCCCTTCCCTTTTTCCCTCCTTCTGTCCTCCCTTTCCCTCCCTTTTCTCTCATTTTTTTCATTCCTTTTTCCTCCCTTTTCCCCCTTTTTCCTCTCTTTCTCTCCCTCCCTCCTTGCTTTCCCTTTCTTTTGCCTCCCTTTTCCCTTCCTTTTCCCCTCCTTTTTCTTCCTTTTTCCCCTCCCTCCCTCCCTTTTTCCTCCCCTTTTCCCTCTTTCCCCTCCCTTTTCCTCCCTTTTTTATTCCTTCCCCTCCTCCTTTTCCCTCCCTTTTCCCCTCCCTTCCCTTTTTCTTTCCTCCTTTCTCCCTCCCTTTTCCTTTTTCCCTCCTTCCCTTTCAGATTTCTTCACAGATCTGCACCGGGAGCTGTTTGGTCGCTCCCAGCAGAGGAAGAGGGAGACCCTGGAGGAACACCAGGCCCGGCTGGAGGAGCTGGAGGAGCTGTGGGAGCACTGGAATGTGCTCCTGTCCCCCACCATGCCAAGCCCAGGAGCTCTGGAGACCCCTCAATCCCAGCCCCAGGCACAGCCAGGGACACATCCAGGGACACCACGGCCAGGGACACAGCCAGGGACACAACTGCCACCCTTGCCAGGCCCCAGACAGCCCCAGCAACCTCCTGGTGCCATCCAGTCCAGGGCGAAGTCTCTGGATAAGGAGACTTGTGCCAGTGGAGCAAGGAATCCGCAGTTATCCCAAACATCCCACAGCAGCAGGGAATAAAGTCTTTATTCCCACCCCAGTCTGTCTGGATGCCATACAGGTCTCACCCCACAGCCATCCCAGGCATGTGGCACAGGCAGCTCAGCCTGAGGTGAGGAAAATACATATGAAGCTACAGGAGGACTCCCAAATCCTATTCCACATCCCTCTCCTTCCCACTGCACCTCGTTCCAAGCTGTGGCCACCTCTCAGTGCTTTCTCCAGGCTGAATTGGGGCTGGAGGCTCTGCACCCCCAGGCAGGGCTGGGACTGGGTAGAGGTCTCCTAGACTGTGAGGAGGTGAGGAACCAGGGCTGGACACTAGGAATATTCTCTCATTCCCTATCCATGAGCAATACCAGGGGTAAGGGGACACATCCCACCCACCCCGGTGGGGTCTATGTGTAAAACTTCATCTCTGCCTCCACGCAGTCGAAGAAGAGATCAGCCAGTTCCTCAGGGTGGAGGGTCACTGTGCCCCTCAGCAGCTCATCCATCCCCTCCAGGCCTTGCTGCTCCAGCTCCCGCAGGGTCTGCAGGAGCCTCTGGCCACGCTCCTGGTGGGATTGGGGAGGGAGGAGACTCAGTGAGTCTGTAATCCCCATCCCAGGGGGATCCCAGTGTGGGGAGGGCTCTGGGGAGGGAGAAGAGTCAAGGGGTGTCTGATCCCCATCCCTGGGGTATCCCAGTGTGGGGAGGGAGAAGAGTCAGTGAGTCTCTGACTCCCATCACAGGGGGGTCCCAGGATATGGAAGGGCTCTGGGTAGGGAGGAGAGTCAGGGAGTGTCTGACCCTCATCCCTGGGGGGATCCCAGTGTGGGGAGGGAGGAGAGTCAGGGAGTGTCTGATCCCCCATCCTTGGGGAGTTCCCAGGATGGGGAGGGCTCTGGGGAGGGAGAAGAGTCATGGAGTGTCTGATCTCCATCCCAGGGGGTCCCTGTGTGGGGAGGGAGGAGAGTCAGGGAGTGTCTGACTCCCATCCCAGGGGGGTCCCAGGATGGGGAAGGCTCTGGGGAGGGAGGAGAGTCAGGGAGTGTCTGACCCCCATCCCTGAGGTATCCCAGTGTGGGGAGGGCTCTGGGCAGGGAGAAGATTCAGGGGGAGTGTCTGACCCCCATCCCTGGGCGGGAGGAGAGTCAGGGAGTGTCTGACCCCATCCCTGGGGGTATCCCAGTGTGGGTTGAGCTCTGTGCTACCTGGTCCTGCTCCATGAGCTGCAGTGCTGCCTGGTGCCGGCGGTACAGCTCGTGCCGCC